CTGTCTTTCTACTAGTTATATTTTTAAAAGGCTTTTTGGTATATTTTGCTTCTATACAAAGAGGACACTTGAACAAATTATCAACATTAACCACAAGAATTAATTTTATTTTTTAAAGTCTTTTTATAGAAGCAATATTAATATGACCTAGCCTATCATGCCACAAATCAATAGACTCATCAATATAAGCAGAATTAGAAGTACTTGCATGACTAGTAATCTCTTGAACAATGTTCAATATAAATAAACCTCCATTGAGGTAACCCTTCCCAACAAAGTCTCCTCCAAAAGAGATAACAATTTTATCAAATTTAAAAATAGGTTTAAGGCCTGCTTTGTTGAGAAGTGCACCAAAGACTAAGTTTCTACGAATAGAGGGAACGTACCGAACATTGTTCAAGGCTAAAGTTTTTCCAAAAGTTAACTTAAGAAGTATTTTTCCTTTACGCATAACTCTAGCCGTAGTGGAGTTACCCATATAGACACACTCACCATCAGTAGATTCCTCAAAGTCATGGAACAATTCCTTATTGGCACAGAGGTGTCTTGAAACGCCTGTGTCTAGTATCCAATCAGTTTTGTTAGCCACTATATTTGCCTCAACGACCACAACAATAATCATATCACCACTTTTAGTAAGGTTAGCTTGGACTGGAGCTTTCCCCCCATGATTCGAGCTTTGTCCTTGTCTTTGGTTGCACTGAAAAACCTTGTGACCAAGTTTTTCATAGACATATCAAGGTCCTTTCGACTTTTGTATTTGGCTCTCCGGTTTATTTAAGTAGTTCTGCTTCTTCAAATATCCTTTTTTTTTGCCTTTCTTCTATTTGCCTTTAAACTGTCTTTCACAAAAGTACTAGCAGATTCCACAAGGTTAGCTTTAGAAGAATTAAGAGAGAGAGATTTCATCTTATCCTTAAGACGTTATTCCTCTTCCTCTTTGAGACAGGTTGTTTTCTCAGTCCTCATGTGATTGATCAGTTCTTGGGGAGTTAAGTTATTCTTCTTGTGCTTGAGTTGGTTCCTGTAATCACTCCAGGAAGGAGGGTACTTTTCAAGCAGAACATTAACTTGAAGAATCTCACACATCTCAATGTCTTTGTTCAAAATATCAGCAGCCAAGTTCTCATACTCATGAACTTTCTCTATAATTAGCTTATCATCGACCATTTGGAACTTGATCCATTTTTCAACCATATACTTCTTCTTTTTTCCGCATTATCTGCATCATATTTCTTCTCCAAGCTGTCCCATATGACTTTAGCACATTTATAATTTATAAATAAATCAAACTGAGGGTTAGTCATATGGTTAAGCAGGGGCCCTCGAACAATTTTATTATCTTTTTCGATTTTCTTTTTAACAACATCATCAACAACAATAGCAACAATAGTATTAGAACCATCAACAACAACAATAACATTCGAAACAACATTAGCAGAAGGTTCGTTGAATAAAACATAATCAACTTCTAATTGTTCGAAGAAAATCAAAAGTTTTTGGGACCAATGCGTATAATTGTTTCCATCTAAAGGCTCGAGTTTCGACAGATCGGGAAGAGTTTTATTCAAAGTGATAGCCATTGATCAATATTATAAGCGAAGTCGCTTTCAAATTGTTAGAAAAATAGTTGATAATATTGACCAAGAATAATAAAAGAATAGAAATAACTTATCGAATAAATAGTGTCATTGCAAGCCAATACCCTGAAAGTGATTTCAGTCCGACTGGGTGCAAATCATTAAGATCGGTCACTCCCCAAGATTCCACAGTACTTTCAAACACGTGTACTCATAGCTGAAAGTTTGGAGTTTGCAAAAAAAAGAATTGCCCGAAAAAATAGGATGGAGAATAGTCTTTTGAAAGGACGAGAGAATAATATTTTTGGTTGGTTATTTAGTTCACAAATGATGATGCTTATATAGGCAAATCATCTACGATTTCTTCCATCAGAAAAACGTAAGAATCAAATGGGAGTTAATGTTAAGTAACATTATTCTTGTCTTAATGACAAAATTATCATAAAGACAGTAAATTCAAACTTTTTGAAAAGCTAATATCTTTTCACAAACAAAGTAACAAAAATTAAGAAACCGTCATATGAATGAATGTGAACCATTGATGAAGTAGTAACTTCATTCTCCCACTTTGTATATACATACAATCTAGAGATGTTACAAAAATTAATAGTGGAGAGGTATGAAAATTAACCACATATTAATTGTGAATTAGAAGTATTTTTTTTTATTCTTTACATGATCAAATTAGGGTATAAGACATAATAAGAATAATACCAACAATTGTAACAAGCAGGGCTGGGTCCCCAATTTCAAAAGAAATATGTTATGTGTTAATTATTCCTTAAGAAAGTTCAAGTATTTTATACAAAGAAGTTATCATTATGAAGTTGATGTAATTGTTGACATATGGAAAAGTCCTCACGAGTAAAGTAAATATATCTTTATGGTTTCCTTAAACATGATATAACCTTCAATTTGCATTTTTTATATTCTGTCCACTAAACCACAATAGTCACTCTAATATTGATGGCTTTATATTTCGAATTAAAAGTGTTAATAAAAGTAGTATGAGTAATAGATAATACTTTAATTAATATACTTAATTACATAAAAAGACTTGATTCTTTTTAAAATGCCTAATAATTGCCTCAACGGAAATAAGTTTTTCAAAATAAAAATAGATAAAATCTTACATAAGCTCAATAACGTCTAAAAAATAATTAAATCGGTTAGCTATATTATCAATTGAAAAATAATTACTAAAAAAATCAATTATAAAAAGTTCGGGCCTCTAATTATAGTTGCACTTTAAGCCCCAAGTATATCGAGCCGCCCATGTAATAAGTTGTTTACGTTCTACTAACTTCTCGAAATAAATAATTCAAAATAAATAATCGCTTTTCTTGGCTCTTGCTTCTAGCCTAATACTTTAATCACACATGATTTCCATTTTGTGTCTGACTATGAATTTAAATTATTTTTTAATCACATATACCAATAACATATTGTATAATCTTTTTGCTTTATTGGTGGTTAATATACATCTCTAACATTTCAATTCTCCGTCTCTCCAAACGTCACGCGTATTTATTGACTAATAACACAATATTATTTATTATTTGGTATTTTGCTTAAATATTTGAAATAGACATTACTGGTTTATTGAACTTCACATATTCTACCCCAAAAATAAATTAAATCCCCAAATCACAGTACGAATAGAGTTTTAAATTAATGTTTTGTATCAATAAATAGAATTAAATATTATAATATTATTTTTAAAATATACTTATTATGCCATTTTAATTTAGTTTCCACGATAGACTCGAAATAATTGGTGTATATTTTCTGCTGTGGATTTAGTACACAAATGAATTGGGGAATTGACACTGTATAACAATCCATTAGTATAATTGGTATTTTTCGGGCCTTAAATTTAGTTTGATAGTAGAAGCCCAAAAACTTTGGCATTATATAGCCAAATTTTAAAAAGCCCACTTCCTATTTATTTTCGCTTTATATCCCCGCCCAATTTATTTTCGCTTTATATCCCCCCCCCCCCCCCCCCCCNACGTATCTTTTCTTTTCCCTCTCCCTTTCTCTCCTTATATTTCTTTTCTATCTCTCCCCTTTCTCTCTCTCTCTCTCATGATTTAGCGAAAACTATGGCAAATTATGCAAAAAAATCAGTGGGATGAAAAGATAAGGTTGATGTCACATAAGAGAAAATCAAAAGCAAAAACTAAGAGAAAAAATAGAGTTCAACTTTGTTTTTCTTCTCTCTTTTTTGTTAGATTGAATGAGTGGGTGTGATTAAAATTGGTTGAAAACACCTAGACAAGGTTATATACAAAATTTGAGCAAGATTAAAAGTGATTTTAATTGGTTTCGGGTAAAAAAATCAGACCTAAAAATTCAATTACGACATGTGTATAACATGTTGTATATCGTATACATCGGTGTATATCACACACATATTTTTATGGACGTCTGTGTATATTACTTTATATATCGTGTATATAACACAAATTTTTTATGGACGCCTGTGCATATCACATTGTATATCGTATATATAACATATATTTTTATGGATATACACAGATACACTTGATACAAGAGATATCACTAATGTACATGGAGATATACACGGGATACAATGGGGGATACACATGCGGAGTCGTCTTAAAACTCGAGTTTTCAATCTGAAATATATTATACAAAGAAGGAAAATAAAATTTTGATATACTTTTTAATATACACATTATTATTATGTTATACAGTGTGATATACAAATAATATAATTATTATTGTATTATATATATTTGGATATACATATAAAAAAATTTAAAAAATAATTTAGAAAATTTTTGGAGATTTTTCGGATACTATTAAATAAAATAGAACCTAATTGTCATGTCGAATATCTATTAAATGTGGTGAATTCGCCCCCTTTAATACCGATACTTCGAAATCAGAGTCATCATCTGTATGAAGAGATGAAGATTTGACCATTGTAACTTTAGATTTTGATTTCTTAGAGGTTGAATTTTTACCCATCTTTCAAGTTGAAGAGAATGTTGATATGCTATGGGAAATTCTATAAAAGATTCTAGATATAGAGAATTACCCAAGAAAAAGATTAAGAGAAATCTAACAAAGTAATTATCGGAGAAGAAGAGAGAAATTTGGGGGATTGAAAAATACGGAGTGAAATTTGGGGAAGAAAGAGAACAAGAGCTTAAAGAGGAAGAGAGGGGAGAGTGTTGTACGTTTCTTTTGATTTTGCATAAAAATAATTTTGGCTATAAAAATCAATTAAATATAAGAAAACCTTAATGTTGGGCCATAAGGTACTAATATCTAAAACTAAGACCTTTTTTATACCAACTCTCTTCATAGGTTGCTATACCATGCCATTTTCTCAAATAAATATGGAGTTAATAGCAAAATTACATGTTCGATTCACGCACTGGGCCCTGTGATTAAAACCTGCAAGCCCACAATATCTTCTAGCCCGTTTGCCTTGACAATCACATCAATATCCTGATTGATTACAGCCCCTAATTTCAAATTCCGCGCGAGCTTCTCAGTTGAAAAACACTTTCCCTAGGCTCGGCTCCCAACTTGCTCCTCTCCATTTTTCTTCTGCGGCGGTGATCGGTGATCTATTTCTCTGGCAGAATTGAGTTGTAAGTTTCCGAAACGACTTTTTCTTCCTAACGGAAGTTGGTTAAATCAAGTACGTCTCATAAACATGTTCTAATTGCTTAAATAAGATAAGTAATTCAGTATCAGCAAATTTGAATAAGAATCCACATTATTATAAGTTCATATTTGCTGATTGCATTCGTCATTCGAGTATCGTATCTTAAAAATTCCACTGATAGACCGCATTTGTTTTGAGATCTATTGACGAAGAATTATGGATGAAAATTGGTAAACCGCTGAATTTAATTGTCTGATTAAGCAATTTCACAAGCATCGGACAGCATAGATACTATATTAATGATGACGAGAGGCATGATATATAGATTATAAGTGATTCACGTATTATAAGCTTGACCTATATCAATTAGGAATGTACTGTTTTTTTTTTCATTTGTGTGATTCTAATTCTAATTATGCGTCATGAGTATTCTGCTGTTTAGGTGGTCAACACTGCATAACTAAAGTTTGTGATGATTTGCTCATCATTTCATACGTTGCTTGTTCTGACTAGTACTTTCAGATTGATCCATGCTTGTTCTGATTAGAAGTCCTTGTGTTTTCTATTAAAATAGTACTGATTTGTTTGGTTTCGGGACTAGTTTAAATCTTGCATTGACCACACATAACCATATTTTGATATGTCTGTCTTGGTTAGTTTCGAGTTGTAAGTTTCCGAATCAACCTTTTCTTCTGAACCGAAGTTGGTTAAATCAAGTACGTGTCATAAACTTATTCTAATTGCTTAAATCAGATAAGTAATCAGTATCAGCAAATTTGAATAAGAATCCACATCATTATAAGTTCTAGGAGTATCAATTTGCTGATTGATTGCATTCGAGTCTCGTATCTTAATAATTTCTGCATTTGTTTTGTCAATTGAAGAAGAATTATGGATAAAATTGGTAAATCATTGAATTAATTGTCTGATTAAGCTATTTCACAAGCTCCAACAGCATAGCTACTATATTAATGATGATGATGAGAGGCATCATATATGGATTAAAAGTGTGATTCACGTGCGTACTATCTTGAAGCTTGACCTATATCAATTACTCGACCAAGGAATGCACTGGTTTTTTCATTTGCGTGATTCTAAGTAAGCGTTATGAGTATTCTGCTGTTTAGGTGGTCAACACTGCAAGCTTTAACTAAAGTTTGGGATGATTTGCTCATCATTTCATTGGTTGCTTGTTCTGACTAGTACTTTCAGATTGATCCATGCGTGTTCTGATTAGAAGTGCTTGTGTTTTCTATTAATTTAGTACTGATTTATTTGCTTTTGAGACTAGTCTCACATTGACCATATTTAACCAGATTTTGATATGTTCGTCTTGGTTAGTTTGATAGACACATTATACATTTTGCATAACTTTTTAAAAGTATATCTGATATTTGATAGAACATTACATGTGTATTCCAGTTACTAAGTACTTATGTGCGAATTGTCGCTAATATGGTGTCACTTTCCTGGCATATTCATTTCTTGTTGTTGCAGTCTCTTATTATCCAGTTTTTGCTAGTACAGATCCACAATGGAACTAGAAGTTGCTGATGTCACAAATAAGCGCCTGAAACCTTCTGTATGCCCCCTTATCTTTTAAATCATTTTAACATCATATTTTTCCTGATAGAAGTAAACTTTGCTGTTAGGTGGAGGATAATGAAACCACACAGATTGATAGTGAAATTGCGAAGGCTACAGAAGAAGAAACTGCAGCTGCCACACTGGCATCTGAACAGATGGAGCTGGAGATTGCTAATATTCTTGAAAAGATCAACCGTTTCACTAACCTGGTATGATTTAAATTCTTAATTGCATATACCTAGGGAAATAACTAGGACAGTGACATAGCATAGAAAGAAGAGACGGTTGAAACCCCCAGCCTAATGAAGCAAATGATGGACTTAAATGTCGTTAATAACAGCGTTCGGTATTTGAGTTTGGCTCATACTCTTTGATATAGGTGTGAATTTCTATATTGGTTGACACAATTCTTGTTATCACCTTGAGAAGGTCTCTGAACTGCTGGAATCAGGGAAGTCCATGCTGAAGGAACTGAGTAATGAGTTTGAAGAGCGGATTATTTTGTAAGTGTGGAAGTAGAAAATTAACTAATTAGGTCAAGGTTGGTTACAAATGCTGAAGCATATTTATTTGCAGGCTACACAAGGAACAGATGGAAAAGTGGCAAGAAGAGATTAAGGAATTGCGCTTGCTTGATACTTCAAATGAGGAGGCTGATGCTCTTTTGGGAAATGCTAAATATCTACTTCAGAATGTCCAGGGTGAATCCTGAGCTATCTGAACTATGCTAAAGCTTCTCAATAGGTAAGCCGTTCACGTTATGCTGGGTAATTGACATTTTTTTGCATTTCTATGGGTTTTGTCACCTTGGTTGGTAGTTCTGTTCTTACTAAAAGAACAATAAGAGAGCCTTACATGATCGACAAGAGGAGAAAAAGAATACATTTGAAGAATTGCCGTACATTTTGTTGCTAACTGATGTAAAGCTGCTTAATACTTCCCCTATGACAAACTTCTATAGTTTTCTGACTGAGAAGTCTACAAAAAGTAATGCAAACTGGAAACAGTGAGCTTTTGGTGCACATATCCATTGGATTTCTCAATGCTCGTCATGTTGTTATTTTGCTCTCCAATCTATATTTCCTTTTTGCTGTATCTGCTGTGAGCCTGCTCCATAAGTTGTTCACAGCAAGCTGATTTTCTTCATAATGTTTCTCTCCATCTATTACTTTAATCACCTTATTTGATCTTATATGATCCAAGGCCGAAGCTCTCTTTTAATCGCCTTACTTGATCTTATATGATCCAAGGACCAAGCTCTCTTAGAGATTTGTAAGTATCAACCTTAATTCCATTACTTTTATGGAAAAGCACATATAAATTATTTTCATCATGCTCTCAGATAGAAAGCAGAGTGGGGTTCCGAAGATAGGAGCTTCAATATAAACTATAAAGTGCATTTTTTCTATTTGAGGCCTAAAAACTAGTTACATCGGGACACAAAGAGAAAAAAACATATGCAGTAGTAGAAATATATATCATTCTCTGCTTTCAGCGAGAACCTAAAATTGTCAGTTCCAATTTTCATTCCATTTGCTTTAATTCTTTGCAAAAAGTTGTCAAACGTGGATAAGACTGATCCAACCATCTAATCAAATTAAATTATAGAAAACACGAGAAGAAGAAACGGATTAAACATGGAAGCAATTGAATAAAGAGGAAAACTGAGATAAACTCTTCTAAAAGGATCATAACCATCTAATATTCTTTACTAAAGTCATATTTACATAGAAACAAAACCTAAAGCCCTCTCAAATAGGGAGAGGAATAGAGATGATAGAACCTAAGTCTATGTCGGCCTCTAGAAAATGAAAAACACCATGTTTGAGTCAATACTTGTAAGAGTCGCCTACGGAGATGGGTTGGCCGGAGATTAGTCCAAGGCGTGATCTAGAGTGTTGCCTGGTCATGACCTCCCTTGCTAGAACTGGCCAGTCAATTACGTTTCTTTCAGACTCTTCCTCCTTAATCTTCTTCACCTGGCTGTGCATAAGATGATGATAGTCAGCCTCTTGGTTTTGCTCCAAGAATCCGTCTTCTTTCTTTGCCATGTTGTTGTTCTTCTTCTCCATATGAACTCACAAAAATAGGCAGTCTTCAGTCTTCCTCACATAACCATCACTGAAATGGTTGCCTATAAATATAGATTTGGTGAGTTTGGCACCCAACCGCAACTCCCAAGAGTTTCTTTCTTTGTTTATCTATTCTTTTCCTTTTGTGGTTGGGAAGTTTAGTTGCGATTCATGAGTCGTAGTTAGAGAGGGAAGTGAATCAGGAGGTTGGTGGAAATTGAAAAGTTCTTTTTGTCAGATTGGATAGATACAGAGTTTGAGACTTAATTAGAATGGAGAGGACTGTTTAAGACCACATCCATATACATTAATTTCTGACCGAAAATCAAGTAAATTCAACCCTACGCGTTAGGTAATACTACACGTACACGTACACGTGAAATATTACACCATTAATATCACGAGGAAGGTAAGATTAGTTATTTAGCTTTCATACCTTATGACTCTTTCCTTTCATACAATAGAACATCAACCTCTATTCTAGGAGTCAAAAGATACATGCACTAAGTTGATAGATAACACAGGTTTGAGGTTAAATGGTACATGAATATTGATGAGATAATGGATTTAATTTATATAAATTAAAAAAATTATACATTTTAGTTAGTTACTTATTTTTTTCTTGGATCATTAACTTAATTGTTATTATACACAGGTAGCTGTAATTAAATGTTTATGTAACTTGATAGTTTAAGATTTATTATAGTTCTCCTTTATAAAACTTACTGTAAATCCTATGATAATTTTATGCTAAGTGTTACACATAAAATATGAAAATTACTAAGCTAACTATAATACTCCGTATTCTCTTTTATTTGGTGAAAGGCACCCTAATCCTTTGGACTGGATGATGCTCAGATTTCTTTCCCTTTCTCATCTATAATTTCAATGCATGTACCGTTTACTTCATGTGTGAACGTGGAAAAGAACCTTAAAAGGTGAAAAGAACAAAAAAGTAGTCTAGGTTTTACTTTGATTTTGTACTTGTGATGAGGTATTACGTGTATTTGGCTGGTGACATGGCTCTAGACGGATTTGAGAAGTTTATGCGGTTGGGTTTGCTGCGGCTTGTGGGCAAGCCCTTTTCAATTGCGTGAAGCTTCCATTATTGTGACCCGGTAATTATCGGCCGATAGCGTGTGAATGCAGACGAAAATTGATTTTTTAAATTTTCTCATTTTTTAAATTTGTTGTTTAATTAAACAATTAACTGCCCACTCCGTCCCAATTTATGCGGACCATGAGTTTAAAAAAGAAAGACATTTAAAATTTATAGTCTAAAACAAGTCATAAATGTTTATGTGATTGTAAATCATCTTATTATGGATAAAATGAGAAACTTTTAAATTTAAAATTTAAATAAAAAAATGACATTCTTTTTGGATAGGCTAAAATATTAGGAAAGAGGAATCAAGTACTCAACTACGAGGAATATCTTCTAGGCAAAATGGCCTCCGGGCCACTTAAATTTGCACCCGTTTTTCAATCCGGTAAAGGAACGTATGCGTTTCCCATTTGAACACTTCAACTCATTTATTTGCACAATTTTAAACCCATATGACCGTTGACCATGAATACATGACAGCAATGTAACTGACGTGGCAAAATGTGTGCTAATCACGATTGTGAAGCGCGTGTATACAATGAATATGAGAGAAAAAAATATATGCTAAAATTACAAATAAAAAAAAAATAAAGTAAAAGCAAAAAAGAAATTTAAAAAAATAAGGAAAAAGCCCCCCTTTCTCCGCCGTCATCTGCCCCTAATTCCTTCATCATCTTCTCCCTCGTTTCTCGCCTTCATCTCCCACTCATTCTTTCATCTAATCCAAAAATTTACTTTATCCCTTTCCTCCTACTCAAACACCACATTCAAAATCACTATCATCACCTCTTTCATCACTACTAACCCAAACACCATTTTCAACCGTTAGTATCTAGAGCATACTTTTTCTATAACAAACAGATCGCTAGGGGAGATGGGCGAAATACGGACGCCGACAAATGTGATATTGAGGAAAGAAGTATAGTGGTTGGTCAGAATAGCCATGTTGGGGATCCTTTTTTATGGGAAGAGAAGGTTTAAAATTTGCTCAATCGCAGAAATCACTCCGGCGAGTTTGATGGTGCCGGTAAAACTTCGAACAGTGGCTAATCTAATTTCAAGGGATTCAAGATCTGTCTCGTAAGGGAATATAACAAAAAATTAATTTTTCGCTGAATGAGAATGAACAAGAGGGCTAACAATACTTCGCATAAATTTCTGACGAAATATAACCGGAATTGTGATATCAGCGATAATAAAACTGAAGAAGAATGGTGGGAATTGATTGGAATACCCATGCAAGGCCTTTAGTCACTCCTATTAATGATTTTCACTGATTTTTGTAATTGATTGGGGGGGGGAGAGTTAGAGTAAATGAAGGAGGTGTTCATGGTGGAAGGCGCTAGTGGCCACCCGAGGAAGAAGAAGAAAAAAACAAATTCTCATAAATTTTAATAAAATGGTTAAATAAAGATTATGGCCCACAAATTATACGTGTCAAATAATAACATGCGAACAATGTGATGTGTCAATTATGTCTAAGCGATTGAGGCACACAATCAGTTTGAGGTGCTTATTTTTTGTATTTTTATCAAGTTTCGGTGTTCAAATGGGAAATACGTAAGTTCTTTTATCGGGTTGAAAAATAGGTACAAGTTTAAGTGGCCATTTTGCCTATCTTCTATCTTCTAGGAGTGGACCAAAAAGAAGCCAAAAATCCTGAATTCCTTGAGGTTTTTACTTTCCTATACACTATTTGAAACCTTATTATCCTCCTTATTCAAGTTTCAATTTAATTACATGGTCATATACAATTTACCAATTATATACAAATAAGTTTTAAATGAGTATCCCTTTATATTAGGAATTGAAATTTCCTTATCCCTTTATACTTGCCCTCTCTCTCTATCTTTCTCTCTCCCTCTCTCTACTCTCCTTCACTATTTTTTCCCCTAATTTTTCTTCATTTGATTTTCTCTGTTTTTTATCCTTTCTTGTTGTAAAGAGTTTTAATGGAATTCATCAATGAATTTCAATCGTTTTAACTTAGCAATTTCCTTTCATGTTGCGCAATTGGTATTTAAATTGAAATTGTCAATCAATAAATTCTGAAGGTGTTTGACTCTCCACCATTGACAACCATTAAAAAGCTTTGAAGTTTTGAAATAGAATTTGGGTTTTCAAAAATCATTACTTGTTTGGATTGGGTGTTGTTGCAAACAATTGGGAATATTGTTTGGAGTTTATATCTCAATTTTGAGGGTGTTTTGATGAAGGTTAGACTTGATTTTGGCTGAATTTCATATTGAAACTCGAAGAAAAAGAAGAACACATAACATACAATGTACTTTCGAAATTGTAGTAAAGTTGTATTATAATTGTATGTAAATTGTATGATGTTGTAGTTATATATATATTTTTTATATGAATGTTGTATGAAAGTTGAAAAATAGGTGTATAATGTATGAATAATTATATAAAATTTGTATTTAAGTTATCAATACTATATTTTTTCATAAAGTTGTAGATATGTATCAAAATTGTATTAAGAGAGTAAGTTTTGATTGGAATTTTAGAGAGGGAGAAGCACACACCACAAATAAAATACACAAATCAGATACAAAATATATACAAAAGACATATTGTATAAAAATTATAATTAAGTTGTATGATATTGTAGTTGTATCTAACTGGGTAAAAATAATATGTGAAAGTTGTAGATAAGTTGTATAATATATAATTAGTTGTATGAAATTTCTTTTTACTATGTATGTTGCTGTAGATATTCAAATTTACATTAAATTTGTACGAATTTTATTTTTAATTTGTATGTTGATGTACGATATATTGCTCTTAAAGATAGAGATTTTATGTGTTTATTTTGAATATAAATATGCAATGAAGCTTAGATTCAGTAGAAGTTATCTTTTAGATTGTTCTGATAAATAATACTGAAACCTGATCGATCAAAGAAAGATGTAAATATATTAGACAAAAAATGACGCCAATTGCAAGCAATACATAATCATTGAACATGTAATACAAAATGTCATTAATGTGCAAGCTGAAAATTTTGTTGCACGCCTTACATTAGAACTGGATAAAGCTTTATGTGCTACTAAGGATTCAGGAACTGTTCCATCATATTCAGTCTATTTGAAAACATAATTTCATGCCATAGTTGGGCGTCAGCTCTCAGATGTAACCGGGGGCTTTAACTCCTCAACTTTTTACTCTCTGCCCAGTTTTAATAAAAGGAGACAGTTTAAATTTTTTTTTTTTAAACGTCAAAACATAAAACCAAGTCCGAAACAATTATCAAATAGAAATACCTAAATATAAGTTCGATTTGCAGAGAAGAGTGGAGCGAGGAGAGAAAAAAAGGAAAAGGGTATAACTAAATCTTTTGATTGAAAACACTAATAATGGATTGAAAGCCTTTTAAGGTGAAATGTATATTTTTTGTAGCTAAAACTTGTTTAAATCGGATAAATACCAAAACTTGAACATTTTTTATAATAAAGTTTCAAATAATATATAAAACAAAAAAGTCCTTTCTTAACCATGTGTACCACAACAGAAGCGCAAAATCCTTCTGACGGCGCAGCTAAATTCGCCAAAATACAAAACAGTACGAATAGTAAGTTTAGTTGGGCTTTTACTGGTTGTCTGTTCTAGAAATAAAACAGACCATACTTGGGGCAGATGATTTAACAATGGGCTATTTGTTGACTTAGGTCCTCTAAGAAAATGTGGGCCGAGTAATCGCAAGGTCAATATTTAATTGATTGAGTGCACTTTTCTTTCTCTTAATTCACTTCGAGAAGAGAGATTTATCAACCTTTTCCAACAAGTGTGAAACACACAACTAAAAAGTCAGAAGAAACTCGAAGAGCCCTTCTCAAAAGGAAAATTCGATTGGAAAGAGTGGTTAACATCACCATAACTCCCAACTAAGAAGTCACAAGAAATTCGAAGACAGCCCTTTCCAAAAGAGAGATTCGATTGTAAAGCTAAAGCAGTGGTTAACATCACCATCAAATTCCACATGAGATAACTTTTATTATTGATATTAACGAATCCAAAGCTGAGCATTGATTCTTTATGGATTGATACTACACCAAGTGTAGAAAAAACTACACATCATGTGCCAACTGCTAAGCTGATGAAATATCCAAAAACCTTTACCTCTTCGGTCTTCACTATTCCCTGGACGCTTATTCTACTAAGGATTAGTATACATACATGACAATCGGTGGCGGAGCTAGAGTTTAGATTACAATTTTAGTCGAATCCACTAGTTTTGATTCAAATTCTATATTTGACTTAAGAAATACGTTAAATATGTACAAATTATTAATAACTTAATTAACCTATATGATTCAAATAGTGGCTCTCTTTTGACAAAGTGCTTGTCATGACTTAAAAGAGGAAGCTAAGTCCACAAAAGACACCTTTTAACCTTTATGTTTGGGGTCTTGTCCTTTCAAGTCAGCATCGTGTTCTTCTTTATTAAGTTGTCTTCTGCGTCCAACTTGCTATACGCTATTTGCGTGTTTTTAGTTATGGTCGTATCCTCACGCTTTGCATGCAATAAACCAATTTAATTCTGTGTGCCCAACGTGTTAATTTTATCTCCTTTACTACTTTCATCACTGTCTACGTACTCTAGTTATCAATAAGGTAACTTCTGACTTAAATGTCGTTTATTCGCGTAGAAGAAAACCATGGGGACCATCTTTTATATGTACAACGACGACGACGATTATCCAGTAAATCCCATTATTAGGGTTTAGGGAGGGTAGTGTGTACACAGACCTTACCCCTACTCCGAGGATTAGAGATGATGTTTACGAAAGATCCGCGGCTCAAGAAGACGAAAAGAGACAATAGCAATAGCACCAACAGATACCTTAGAAAAAAAAATAACAACATCATAAAAATCAGAAAATAGATGCAAAGCAAAAGCGATAGCCAGTAAATATACTCGGCACAATAAAAAATGAATGAGTAGTAAGACACAACATTGCCATCTTTTATATGTAATGGAAAGAATTAAAGCTACTGATTCAAATTGCACACTTGAAGTTTCTACTATTCCCAAAATTAAATGGCAGTAGGCCCAAAATTAGGTTGTGTAACTGATTGCTATACAATATTTTGGAGTCAACGTGTAAGGGATTATTTGTGTTTGAAATAAAAAAATAACAAAAAAATAGAAGTTAGTGAAGCCACATGATATGGAATTTTTTCTACAGAATAGGTCTGGTCTGGCTTAATGATCAATGAAGTTGAAAGAAAGACCATTATATTAGTGTCCATATTAGATAAAAATTCTTTGTACAAGATTTTGTTTCCCAGAAAAAATTGAATAATTGATACAACATTTGATTTCTCGTATTAAATTCTGCATTACTGTTATTAACAAATTAAAACTTATATTGGAAATAAATTACTATATTTTATGCGAATAGGAGGTTAGAATGCACATATAAGTATAGAATAAAATATTTAAAGACAGAATTGCTCTTAAGTTAGACAATTTCTATAAAACAAATCTATATATTTTTACTCACCGTATAACATACCCAACATTTTAATATCATAATCGCTTGCATAACGGAGTAGTAGTTTAATTTATCAACCAAACAAATATCCTATTAAATCCTATCAGGGGGTACTGTAACTGATGGGAGGTTTATAACCTTAATCCCATTGGATAAAAAAGTGTTATTTACGTTATCCCTTTGCTCATCTCTCTTTCCCTCATACCCGACCTCTTCCCTCTACAAAAGTTTCTATATTCTATTTAAAGAATTTCTATGTTATTTTTATTGATCTCTTGACAAAAATAATCATATAACAAAAATAACATTTGTAATAGACTATAAAATCAAATCTCCTTTTATTTGAAAGAATTCTTGTTTATTTATTTATTTATTAGTTTTCTACATTTTAGTACTCTTGCATATTTATTCGATTGATGCGGTTTCCTTCATAGATGCAATGATAAATTTGCTAAATTCAGTGTTCTTTCTTTCACAGAATAGTACTCTCTTTTCCATGCCAAATTTGGAAAGTGTTTTAAACTTCCTCAAATTGCAATAAAACATGGGTGGAAGGTGGAACATCGACAAACCCAAAACTTAATCAAATCTTAACAGTATACCTGCTTGTACCGCTGCAATAAGCATTGAATCCAAATAATTTAGACATAGATATGAATAATTTGAGTATTACCCAATTATTACCTAATGAATTTGTTTTCACGAAAACAATCCAGCCACCAGATTAACATACAAACCTTGATACCACTAGTAATTAATTTTCATAACTATTACGGAGGACAAAATTTCTAAACTTTTATACACTTTTGGTGTTTACGTTAAATAGTACTATGGTGTTAATGATAATCATAGTTAAATGAGATGAAAATGTATATTAATTAACTATAATTAAGCTATAAAAGTTTATGTATAAATATAATTATTTATTTATTTATTTAATGCAAATATCGAGTGCGAGCTATTATCTCACCTTCTCATTCTAACCTAGAAACAATGGTGTAGCCACACTATCTCAAGGGTGGTCAAGTGAACACTTTTCGTTAGAAAATTATAATGTTTATATGGCTTAAATAATATTTTATATTGGTAGAATATATATTTTGAATATCCTTAACATAGTTATAGAGTCGGTCCACTCGTTTATGGTGTTCAAAGTGAGGTGTTGTTCACGGCATTTGAATCCTTGTCTAAATTATGCACTACAAACCCTCTCGACCTTCTTTTTTTTTTTTTTTTTACTTTGGTTTAATACTTACTTTTATTAGTAAAATACTGCTCTTTGTTATAAAATCTTGAATTATGGTGGATGTCCATAAACCACCAAATGAGTAATGCTCACTACTCTTCTCCATTATCTCCATAACTTTCACTACTACAATACTGATGGAATTATAATTATAATTCCATAACCTTCCCATGATCTTATTCCATGATCTCAAATGTTTAATGATATATTTCTTCATTTTTCATGTCTATATAAATGCCTTGTAATAGATGGAAAGAATACACAATTGAAGAAAAAACAAGAATCTCTCATCTCTTTCTCTATATCTCTTAATTTATTTTTCTTTGTTTCATATTATTACTTTGAACTATATTTTATAACACTTTTATCTTTTTTTATGTTATTTTTGATATATAAATATCATACCAAGCCAAAACCGTGTTTAGGCCGAGGCGAGTTTGAACCCAGCAGTACTTTGGCTAGTCACAAATACCGAGTGCGACTCAAGTTGAGAGTTAAGACCCTTCTCTTTATTATTACTATGAGTTTGATAGAAAGCGACTCCTCACGCGTCAGAAACTGAGAATATATATTTTACATTTGGGTGGGGAGACCTATTTATAGTCTTCACCCCACAACAACCATAATAAATTTTTATAGATTTACTAACACGGCCTTCTCAGAAAATTACAAAACACATAAAATAATGATTGACCCACGCCCCAAACAGCCCCCCCCCCCCCCCGTATAAATCACTATCTTTCCCTTGCCTATTAAAGGAGTGGACACACACAGTTGTAGCAGAGCTTCTCATTATATTATCCACACGCATAGAAAATACTAAAATCTGTCTCTTCTCTTTGTATTTTTAGCTTCTTGAAATTATTAAGGAAGGTGATCTAATCCCAGAAAATAGCTGCTCTTTTTCCTGTTTTATAAACTAGATACAGACTAATTCCAATTGGGTTTTGTTTTTCTTTTTCTCTCTCCTTAACGACCCTAATTTGCAGTCCTATATTTGTATATTGGTATATATCTTCCATCTCCTTTTTGTGGAGTTCTTTTGATATGGCAATGACGAAGACCTTGTCTATGATCTCACGAACTGGAAGAGATTTGCAGAGATACAACGATGGCTGTCGTCAAGTTGTTGGGTGTGTATTCTTTTTTATTATTCTTATAATTTTCTCTGTTAATCCTTCATTTTCTTGGCTTAAATTGAATAAAGTTGAAAACTTTTTTATGTGGGGTTGTTTTGAATTCTTAATTTGATACCAAAAAAAAAAAAATTCAAATCAATTTATTGGTATGTTGAATTATCTTTGATCAAATTGTCATTGATCTGACTTCTCTGTCAAATTTACCAATGGTGCAGATGCATTCCGTACAGATACAGAAAAACCAACCAATCATCTACAGTTCAGGGGACCCAAATTGATGATTTGGAATTTTTATTGATCAGCTCACAGAAGAGTCCAAGATGGATGTTCCCTAAGGTACAGTTTCCATCCAATTGTCTGTTGTTTTTGTTTCCCATATTTAGAGTATTGATAATATTCTTTTAATCATTCTGAAATTTGACATTCTTTGTTTTGCAAATGAAATTACAGGGTGGTTGGGAAACTGATGAGGCATTAGAAGATGCAGCTTTAAGAGAGACCTTTGAGGAATCTGGGGTTATTGGTGAGGTTGAGGTTCATGAATTTTTAGGTACTTGGAATTTCAAGAGCAAAAGCCAAGGCACATTTCATGAGGGACACATGTTTCCTTTGCTTGTCACTGATGAACTTGATGATTGGCCTGAGAAAACTGTCCGAAAACGATTATGGGTATGTCTCGAATCTCCCTTTCTAAGTAAATTTGATCTTGAATCACTTCGATTCTTATCCCTTTCTAGTAGGAGAGTGTATCCTGATCTTATGTTTGATTCCATTTTGCAGTTGAAATTTAGTGAAGCAAGGGAAGTATGTTGGCATTCTTGGATGAAGGAAGCTTTAGATGTCTTTGCTTCTAAGCTTACAAAGAGAAACAAAGAAGAAGAAGAGCCTCAGACATGCGCTTTCGATGAATTGTCCTATGAACAGACAATTGGTGCTGTATCTGACCCAATGTTTTGTGTAGAACCAAGAATCAGCATAGAAGCTAATGATTTGACATGTGAAGAGCTAAGAATTAGCCTTGTAGGTAAGCTAAAGTTCAATCAAGAATCAAGAACAAAGCCCTTGTTCGATGAAATTAGTAATGTAGCAAACTCAATGTTCAGTGAAGAAGCAACAATGAGCACTAAAGCCCAGCAGATGTTCAACGAAGAAATGGGAAATGGCCATGTAACTCCAATGTTTGGTGAAGGTAAAAGAATAAGCATTGCTGCTTTCAGCTAGCAAACAAATGAAGGAGAAACCTCAAGACTTTTAAGAACCACGGACGCCTATCCAGCAGAATTCTCGACGAGGTGGAGGCCAAGAATCAGCATAATATAAAGGAGAAAGAAAGAGCCTTGGAACCTTGTTAAGAGAAATTTTGGTGACTTAAAGTGCAGGAATTGGCGTTATAGCGCACAATCTGCAAAAGAAAGGAAGAATAGCCTTTTGATGCAGTTACAAGCAGCAGTATTATGGACCAGAGAAAAGAACCCTTCAATCCCTGCCTGATAGAATTCTCATATTGTCACTTTAGCCAGATATAAGCAGATGGTCTGAAGAGCAACTTATAAATCCAGTTTCTCAAACTCCAGATTAGAGAAGATGACATGAGATCTATCAGGATAGAGAGATTTAGAGGTTAAATCCAAAAGTTTCTAACTTCATTCTTTAATTCTTTCATACTCATTCATTCTTTGTTAGCTTTTTCTAACTTAAGTCGAATAAATGTACATCAGCAATCGTTTGATTGTGCGTAAAGAACACTAGAATTGAAAGAAAGACTGTGTCTTTCGTTTGGCATTACAAATTCTTCTCTAGTTTGTTGGCATAACCCTGTTCATTCAATTATTGAACTATATAATAATGGATGTGAAGTTCTTGACTTGTCTGTGTTCTGGAATTTGGACAAATTTATTACTGTTGGCATGGATAGGTGAAGAACTTGAATTTTCGACTCTTCTACCAACCATAAGTTTTAAACTCTAGAAAGACTACTCTTCTATGTATATTATTGCCGACATGAATAATGAAGCCGATTGCAGTTGACTGTATAATAAAAAAAACAAGGAAGTTGCCATGAAACAGAGAAACATGTTTGCATGGTTAGAATTATTTTTTTGGAATCATTTGATTTTATTAAATGGTGTTCCGACAAGTTGCTTGGAGTTCACGAGGAGGACATACCCATCATGCACAAAAAATCTCTTAAAAAAATAGCAATTCAAGATATGGTTGATGAAGTACTAATAAATAGGAGAAATAGGGTCCCCTCATTTCACTTCATCTTTGCCCTCACCTGAAATGTAGTGATTTTGTTAATGTCTGAGTACTTTATCTTACCCAATTTTAAACTTATTTTTGGAGGGAGCAAGTCTAAAGTAGTCAATTTAGAATAAATGTGATTTTATTATAAATATAGAATTTAATTTTTTTTCTCGTATATACACGTAATTTAAAATGAAAGTAATGAATTTAGTTGAACTCGTAAACCTAACCCTATATTCGCCTTTGTATAAGTGGGTCACCATTTGCCCACAAGCGAAACAATCCTTGGTTGGCTTGGTACAATCCTTGGTTGGGTTGGTCTTATGCACCATGGTAGTAAAGAGTAAGACGGTAAACCGACTAGTGCTAAGATGTCACGGCCCAAAATTTCACCACAAGAGTTGTGATGGCACCTAGTCTCTAAGACTAGGTAAGCCGATTTTCATTGCATTTTTTTAATTAAATAAATAATTAAAACTAAAAGCGGAAATAATTACAATTTACAACCTCCCAATACTGGTAGTACTGAGTCACGAACTCTAATTAAAGACATAGAATGATCACGAGGACCGAATATACAATACTATTTGATTACAAATTAACAGTACAATGAAATAAAAAGACTCCAAGGGACTGCGACAACCAAGCAGCTCTACCTTGAATCCTTACGATCCCGCTTTAACTCTGCTCAAGTCCGTTATCTTCAATACCTGGCTCTGCACAAAAATGTGCAGAAGTGTAGAGTGAGCACACCACAGCGGTGCTCAGTAAGTATCAAGACTAACCTCAATGGAGTAGAGACGAGGTACAGTCAAGACACTCACTAGTCTAATAACCTGTGCAATATAATATACAAAATACTAGAAAACAAATAATCATAAAGGCAGGATAGATAAAACAACCAGTGATATGCACAACAGACAACAAGAATACCATTAATATCACTCAACAATTAATAAACACAATTACACCCAACTAAATCAAGCCCTTCAAATAAATGTATTTCACATAGTTCTTCCAGATAACTCTCTTTCATTTTATAAACCGCCTGGCAATAGCCACAGGCTCCCAATTTCAACATAAATCAGATTATTATTAATTTACTAACAACAAGAGAAGTTGCACAAGGTATAAAAATAAACACAAGAAAATCACAACATCACATGAAAATTGTCAACACCACAACCCCATATCATCACATATCGTCCCTGACAATAGCCACCCTTATCGCTCCTATAGCCATCCTTATCGCTCCGCCCACACAATATCAATAGCCACCATTATCGCTCCTATTGCCACCTTTATCGCTCATATAGCCACCCTTATCGCTCCGCCCGGACAATACCAATAGCCACCCTTATCACTCTTATTGCCACCCTTATCGCTCCTATAGCCACTCTTATCGCTCCGCCCAGACAATATTCCAACAAACACAACAGCAAAATGCCACCCTTATAACCACATAATATCAACGGTGAAATGCCACCCTTATCTCCCCAAAATAACAACTCACAATAATTTACACGGGAAATTATCACAACAACACAATAAAATCAATTCATATCACAATTTGCCCAATGGCCACAACCAAATTTCAAAGATATGACAAAATCAATTAATTTCACAACAAATAGCTCAGGGCTCCACACAATGTATATAACACCCAAAAACAATCAATGGAGATAGAAATTACTCAACATAAAGCAAAGTCTTCATTAAATTCAAATTTTCAATAATTATATAAACACATATTCTTAAGCTCATTTAATTAATTATTTGCATAACAAGATTCATATTGGAATTAATTTCCAAGAAATATTAAACCAACAATACTCACAAAAATTCATAAATATTTCAAGTAACAATCACATCAACTTATCATATAAAAACAAATTCAACAATAAGGATTTAGGCATGGCAAACAGATGATTTAATAATTTTCCACAATTTCCCAATTTACTACACAAAAATGCCTAAGACTTTAATTAAATGAATTTTTGCAAGTATAATCCCGAGTACGTACTCGTCACCTCGCGTACACGGCTTTTCACATTTCACAAATGGCACATAAGACTCAATGCCTAAGGGGTAATTCCCCCACTCGAGGTTAAGCAAGACACTTACATTTTTGAAGTTAGACCGATATTCCAAAATAGCTTTCTTGCTTGAATTGATATCCGGACAACTCAAATGTATCCAAATTAATTGTATAAATTCATTAAAATTCATCGGAAACAATTCTGGATAATAATGCGTCGACATAAAATTTTATCCCAAAAAGACAACAAAAGTCAACACGGGCCCCTCCCCTCGGAACCCGACAAACTTTTTATGAAATCCGAATACTCATTCCGATACGAGTTCAACCATACCAATTTTATCGAATTCTAATAACAACTCGACCTCCAAATCTTAATTTTTCGTTTTAGAATCCCTAAGTTCAAACCCTCAATTTACACCTCAAAAACATGTAATCTAATCGGATTATTCGATGATAATTCAATATTATGGAGTAGAAATGATCACAAGGGACTTACCTCAAGTTTTCCCGTGAAAACCTTGCTCAAAAATCGCCCACCCCGAGCTTGAAATGCCCAAAAATGGCATAAGCTCGGAACCTCTCTGTTTTTGTATTGCCTAGGGGTTTTCGCATCCGCGGTGATTTCTTCGCACCTGCGGTAAATTTTTCGCACCCGCGGCAAATTTTTCGCATCCGCGAGCTCGCACATGCGACCCTTTTTCGCGCAGGTGCGATCACACCATCAGCCCAGCTGCTTCAGCTCCTCATCCAAATCCAAATTCGATCCGTTAAGCATCCGAAACTCACCCGAGGCCCTCGGAACCCCGTCCGAACATACCAACAAGTTCCATAACATAACACGGACCTACTCGAGGTCTCAAATCATATCAAACAATATCAAAACGACGAATTGCACATCAAATCAAAATCTATGAACTTTGAACTTTCAAATTCTATATCTTGTGCCGAAACATATCAAAACAATCCGAAATGACTTCAAATTTTGCACACAAGTCATAAATGACATAGCGGACCTATTCAAATTTCCAGAATCGGATTCCGACCTCGATATGAAAAAGTTACCCCCCGGTCAAACTTCTCAAAAATTTAACTTTCGACATTTCAAGCTTAATTCTACTACAGACCTCCAAATAATTTTTCCGACACGCTGCTAAGTCCAAAATTACCATACGGAACTATTGACATCATCAAAATTCTATTCCGGAGTCGTTTCCTCAAAAGTCAACTCTCTGGTCAACTATTTCTATTTAAGCTTCAAATTAAGGATTGTTCGTTTAATTTAATTCCGAATCTTTAGTAAATCAAACTCGACCATACTCGCAGGTCATAATACATATTGCGAAGCTGCTCGAGACTTTAAATCATTGAACGGGACGTAAAATCTTAAAACGACAAATCGGATCGTTATATAAGAGTACAACGCATGACGTTTGGTTCGACACATATCACACTTTTGAACTTTACCGTAAACAAAAATATGATATTTAAGTGAAAAAAATAGACAAACAAGTCCATTATTCACCAAGTTTTGAACCTTGTCCCACTTACCCTAGCGAATTTCTTAGTGATAAGACACAAAATGAACTTACTTTTTATGCATTGTGCTTTAAAGAGTACTAGTAGAAATGTCAAAATGTTTAATGTGTACATTTAGGGGTCGTTTGGTATGATGGATAAGTAAAAATAGGGATGAGATAAAAATTTAATACTATCTTATACTTTGTTTGGTTACTAAACCTGGAATAAGTTATCCCGGGATTAAAATTAGTACGATGATAACTTATTCCTTGTAGGGTTGTAGGGGATGGAATAATTAGTGTTGGGATTATTATCCTAGGACAAAATAGTGAAATTCACAAAAATAGCCCTAAGGTCCTCTTTCCAAATATTCATTCGGTTCATTTGTTTCTCTTTATGTGCTTCGAAAATTATAAACTTTTGCTCATAGACTCCTTTTTTCTAATTGAATTTTTTTGTATATTAATTCTTTTCATTTTTATTATGGCAAAATTAGGTTTTCTTATGGATCATCAACTATTGTCCGATATCAGCAAGAAGATTTAGAAGAAGAAATCAGCAAATATATTTCAAAGAATTGATAACTTGAGCCTCAAAAAATTATTTAATACTTGTTGATGTAAGAATTGGAAATTGATGTGTCAACTAGATAAAGGTAAGATGGAGGGTATTTTTGTAAACAAACAACTTATTAGAAATTATGCATGTCATTTTTAATACAACATACCAAATAATGAATAAAAAATAATACCAGAATAACTAATCACATTATAACTTATACCAGCAGTATTCAAACCATACGACCACTTAGGTAATTTAATTGGCTCATATATTAGTGTAAAATCAACGGTCCATTATCCCTTTTCAAATTCAAAAAAAATCAGTCTTTGCCCAAGGTATCCGTCAGAGAAACCCTGCTTTCTCGAAGAAGAAGAAGAAGAAAGAAGAGGCAAAATCGCCATTACAAACACCATAATGGGAAGGCACAGAGTGAAAACTGACTACGAAGAAGTCCGGAAAGCACAAATCTTAGAAAACCAGGTCTCTCCTTCTCTCTCCATTTTGAATGTCTCTTTTTCTGTCAATTTTAAATTCCTATAGCTGATTTTATTTGATTACAGGCTCGATTGGCCAGTGTTGGACTTTCAAAAACCATAGCAGAGCTTCGAAATATCACTGGTAAACCACAAACAGAGAAGAAAAAACATAACAAAATTGACTACTTCTCCACTCCTTTGCGTCGTTCCAAACGATTAAAAGGAGGTAATGATTCCAAGGTTGAGAAGAGTAGTGCTGAAGAGACTAATAAGCCAAAGAGGCCTACAACTGCTTTCTTCATTTTTATGGAAGAGTTCAGGAAACAGTACAAAGAAAAACATCCAAACAACAAATCTGTTGCTGCTGTGGGTAAAGCTGCTGGAGAGAAGTGGAAATCCTTTTCAGATGCAGAGAAAGCTCCTTATCAAGCAAAGGTAGAGGAAATGATGGCTGAATACCAAAACAAGATGCAGGCTTATAACATTAACAAAAAACAACAGGCTGCTGCTGATGTTTCTGCATTACCAAGAGCATTAAGTTTAATAGCAGATTGAAAATATTATTATTAGCAGGTGATGTTTGTTTCAAGAAATAGCATATGACATTTCCTTAGCTTGTCTGTAATCCCTAGATAAATGTTTGTTTAGTATTTCTTTCCCTGGTTTTGTTTGGGGTTTAATTAGTTGGGAAAGAGAAAGAAAATAGATCATGAGCTGGTTTAAGGATTCCAGTTGTTCATCTACTCTATTTTGTTGGTGCTTAATGATAATTCAACTTGGGCTTGTCCGCCAGCGTATTACCGAAGCCAAAAAGTGTGTCTACTTATGTCGATTGTCTCTCCTTTTCTTTTGCCCTGCTAAGATATATAGATAGGAGAGTCAAGAGTGAGTATGGATTTTCCCTAAGCTTTTAGAGATATTGGGATTTTCGGAAGAATAGAGATGTTGAAGATGATTTCAGAGAAATAGCTTTTCCGGCTAGAAATTAGAGTGATTTTGTTCTTCTTAAAAAACTAAAGTGGTTTTACAAGGTAATTCTCATACCTTTGAAGCCTAGTGCAGCTTTTTGTATGATAACATACAAGCCTGCTCAGCTTTAGGCCGGAGATTGACGATTGACTAAGCGTGTTTTGGCAGCTCGTGGAAGCCAAAAATAGAGTAACCCACTTTATTCACAAGCCAATAATCATCGCATAAATTTATGTTTATATCTATAAAGCCAACTTCAACACATAGCATAAATTTATGTACAAAAATTAACTGAAATTGCAATAATTTTAGATATGAACCTATAGCTTTATAGATATGAGTTAAATACTAAAAATCTTAAAGGTTTAACTCATAAAGTTTAAATCTTGGATCCGCCTCTATTCGGTGAAACAACAAAAACCACTATCTCGCTCTTTCCTTTCTTCTATCATTTTTTTTTGAGGAAAAATAAGTCGCCATATTGAAAGAGAAACATAATTGCATTGTTGAATTATTTTGTTGGAAGCACTCATAGGTCATGGAGTGTCTTTAAGAATCATACGATTATATCAAATTGAAGTTCCGACATTTTGTTTGGAGTTCACGAGGAGGACATACCCATCATGCACAAAAAATCTCTTAAAAATTAGTAACTCAAGATATGGTTGATGACATGAAATTGCTTGTACTAAATAAGAGAAACAACAGTCCCCTCGTTTCACTTCATCTGTTCCTCACCTGAAATGCAGCGATTTTACTAATATTTGAAATAGTTTATCTTGTCTGATTTTGAACTTATGGTAGGTTTGCAGGGTGCTAGCAAAATTATAGTCTGTAGCCTTAAGCATGAATGCGGGTTAGGTCAAATCTAATAGTTTTTGTTCAAACAATTCATTTGTGTTAAATTTTTTTATTAAATATGTACAAATATTATTTAAAACTGAATTAGTAACTCTTAAAATTGTTGTTCTAAAATTCAGAAATCATAAAATTGAAATCCGGCTCTACACGACACATATTACTTTTGCGAAAACTTTCTAAAATTTGACAAGTGGAATACCGGGTCCCACATTTGCTAGTGAAGATGGAAAAAACAGAGAACAAAAAGAAAGTTACAAATAGAAATTGTCTCAAAATTAAGAATACTTGGTTATATAATGTCCAATAAGGAAATGACACGTGAATAATTTAAAGGGGCCAGGGTGCCATAGTGAACAACCGTCAAGGCTGTTGGCATTTTTGTTAGCTTATTAGTTAAGAGTAGGAGTGGATTTAGATGGAAAGTACAACGGAGGATAAAAGTGTACTATTTAGCAAAGTACATGGGTAAATTCAGCCTTTTTACTTGTATAAAATGTCCAATTTTCTTAATTCAAGACTTGATGGGTTGTTTTACATTTCTAAAATGTTTTGTCTAATATCAACGGTCGATTTTCCCATTTCAAATTCCAAAAAGTTCAGATCTTGCCAAGGTATCCGTTAGAACTGAGAAAGCCTGCAATCTTAACGAAGAAAGAGGAAGAAAATCGCCGTTGAAACCCTAAGGTGCAATAATGGGAAGGCTTGGAATGAAAACTGACTATGAAGAACTGCGAAATGCCCGGATCTTGGAAAACCAGGTCTCTTCTCTTTCAATTTGAGTGTGTAATTTCTATCAATTTGAATACCTATAGCTGATTTCCTTTTGATTACAGGCTCGATTGGCTGGTCTTGGACTTCAAAAAACAATCGCAGAGCTTCGAACTATCACTTCCAAACCTCAATCGGAGAAGAAAAAATATAACAAAGTTGACTATTTCTCCACTCCTTTGCGCCGTTCCAATCGATTGAAAGGCAACACCCCTCCCGAATTAGACTTGCGCCGTTCGGGTCGCTTGAATGAGAAGTCCTGCTACTCTGCTCCACCAGCAAAAAGTATATTTTTATGTCTCTTTTCTCCCTTTTTTGAGAGTGATTGTGGATTTTGGCATAAGAATGATGTATACTTTTTGTATTTTGTTTTATATTGCTTTCAGGGAAATTGGGACTTTTCGAAGGAGGAGATGTTGAAGATGATACTGAGAAGAGACCTGCTAATGCACCTCTGCTGAGAGTGAAAGATGGCTTAATACCGCACCTTACACCGGAAGCTTTATCTAGGCGTTGCACTAGCAAAGAAAGGGGAACTATATATGACCCTATTTTTGGTATTTGCTGTCACTTTTGCAGGTTTTATACTCGTTCTCTAATACCCTTGCCAAAAACTTTTTTGCCATTCATTTTGCAAAGACTTCAAAATTTTGTGCACTGATGGTGAAAACTATTCACACAATTAGCTAGCAGTTGGACATAGATTTGATTGAAACTTGAAAAAAGAGTTTTTGAAGTTATGTTGAAAAATAATTTTNGATAGTGTATCCTTTTGCAAATCCGAGTTTTTGTTACTCAATGTGAACGGGAGCTTAAAGTTACTTATAAAGTAATGATAGATAAATTTCTGTTATAAACATGAATCTGTGAACCTGGTAAAAATGTTGCGGAACCTGCTATAATAAGTTAAAATACTAATAGTGTATCCTTTTGCAAATCCGAGTTTTTGTTACTCAATGTGAACGGGAGCTTAAAGTTACTTATAAAGTAATGATAGATAAATTTCTGTTATAAACATGAATCTGTGAACCTGGTAAAAATGTTGCGGAACCTGCTATAATAAGTTAAAATACTAATAGTGTATCCTTTTGCAAATCCGAGTTTTTGTTACTCAATGTGCAATGAATTGAGGGACTTCCCACAAGACGGCTCCTTTTTTTACTTTTTGCTAGGAAGCGTGGATTTTGAGCTTGAATTTACATCTATGTCAGCTGTCCATATGTACCATAAAACTTCTAATCTGCCACACGGGAATCAGTAGAAAATGATGAATTGTGATCATTAATGCAGACAAAAGAAATTGTGTGGTGAAGAAGACTGTAAACGATGTGGTGATTTGGACACGGATCAACCTTGCTTAGGTTAGTCTTACAAATTCTTTTGTGTTTTGTGATACTACTAGTTTATAGACAGACTGATGAATAGTAAAATATTTCCGATATATACTATATACAGGCAAGACAGATTGTTCAATTTGCCATTCTACCAATGGTGTTCTTTGCCGAGGTTGTCTTAAGGTTCGATATGGTGAAGGTGAGGCAATAGCTATATATTTTTAGACACTAAAGGTTATGCAATCATATGGTTTTAAGCTGAAGATCACTCATGTTGTACTCTGACCACTTAAAATGGATTTGCTGCAACTCTAGGGCACTAATACTATTCTGTTCTGTTTAATGGAAGGCCCGCCATTATAAACTTTGTGACATTGATTTTTGTTTTCTTATGATGAATGTTGATTAAGTTCTAAATCTGTGTAAATATGTGTTAGAACTGGAGGAGGTGAGAGCAAATAAAGGTTGGGTATGCCCTCATTGCACTGAAGAAAAAGGCATCAATCCATATTGGATATGTAACAGGTACTTTTGGTGGTTATATAGAACAGGAGTAGGTGCCTATGAAGTTACATTCTTTTGATTCTAATACTGGTACCGGCAAATTTCATTTGGTGTTTTTGTAGCTCATTGTGTCTAAAGAAGCGAAAGATGGCTCCAACTGGGATCGCCATATTCAGAGGTTTGTATGTTAGTTACTAGTTTACTTGAGGGTTTGTTTGCTCACATCTGTTGTTATGGTGGTGTATATTTAGAATTTTCCTAATTCTTGTGTATCTTTTCATTGTTGGATCTTGGACAAAATAGCTAGAGAGATGGGATACAAATCAGTGGCGCATCTGTTAATGGATCAGCTTCAGCAAGCAGTGAAGGGGAGATGATATGCTTTTTAGTGAATTTTGCACTCTTACTAGATTATAAGAGCTACATAGGCAGTAGAATTAGCTTCTGAATGTAAAGATGAATGTTATTAAGACCAATCACCAATATTGTAATGGCTCGGATCCTCATTTTCAAATCTGCTGCACAACTTTTCATTTGAACTATATCTAAAGATGAGAGATTGGTGCGAGTCCTTTTTTCATGAAATGTTTTGTTGAAAGTCATTTCTACTGTTGACTACTGGAATGAACTCAAGAACTGCCTATGGCGCATCTTCTTTGATTGTCTCTTATCCCTCAGTCTTGTGCCTTTGATATTGTATACGGTCGAAATAGATTTCGACCTTTCTACGTTCGATCGATTTCAAGTGGTAAGAAGTCGGAGTGAGATTTTGGGAGTGAGCTCCGAAGTCAGTACTAACGAGCCTCGAGTCCGAAGGTTGCTCGAGCAGTCGGCTCAATAACCTTATCGAGCCCGTGACCGAATCGATCCGCAAGACACTGCTTTGAGGTCGGAAATGCGCGACGCCCATCCCGAAGGTCGAACTCGAGCCAAGACCGAAGGGCTCGACCCGGTAACGAGTTCGAGCCAGTATCGAGCTCACAAACAAGAGCCGTTGCAACCGCACCAAGAGAGAGAATCTTGGCGGGAATCGAGGAAGAGACAAATCATCATGAGTCCTCCACTATATGCTTTATTTTATTATTTTTTGTAAAGACCCTCTACTATAAAAAGGGGAATCCTTGTAAACTATGTAGAGACTGAACACACGGAATAGATTGGAACAAAAAGATCTTTTCTCGTATACAAAGATATCTCTTTGTGCTCGTTTTACTTGATTTTATTCATTCTTTTTGTTCACCATTGTCATTCTCATAATCAAAATACTTATATTGTTATCTTTATATCAAAGGGTATTACGTATCCTTAGAACCATACATAAATTTAACATTATCCGATTTTTCGAGTAAACAGTTTGGCGCCCACC